CCTCTGCTATAATAATTCCTTTGATATAGAGAAACAGGTTTGGGTAATAATATTTTAATCTCAAACTTGGGATCTCACTTCTCCTAGTCATTTGTATGTTGTTACTTTCTTTTATATTTTCTCAGCATATACTTGTGATCTCTCTTTAGAAAACTGTGCTCATTTTAAGCATGAGTCAGCTGAACTATTTTAATCAGGCCACCTGTGTGACATTGAACATTCCCTGCCCCTATCTGTCCTCCTTCCCTCCTGTCTGTGTAAGGAGGAGATTCATGTTTTGGGGGCTTCCAAATCTCCTTAATCCTCACCCACCAGCCCCAGGGAGAAGTTCCCAGCAGGGGCACTCTAGACTCCCCACACCCACAGCAGCTCTGTGGTTCTCCCTGTTGCTGTGAAATTACATTTTGTATGAGGAGACTGTTCCAGGCTTGATGATATATACACTTTGAAAGCCAATACAGGGTATCTCAGCAGTTTTGGTCTTACATGTCCTACCTGGTGGGGGATAAAGCTACTTCTAAAAGACTTCGGAATGCCTCCTTGGTTGACTCTGTGGTCCCAGTGCAATCTGGTCTTCTTTCTTGTCTTGTCTAAAGGGTTAGAGGGCAGATCTTACTTTGACAAGAATAAGAGCTCTATGCTGGGCCTGGTTGCACACATCTCAACTGTAATCCCAACGACTCAGGAAGCTGAAGCAGGAGGATCACAAGTTCAAAGTCAGCCTCAGCCTCAGCAACTTATTGAGGCATTAAGCAACTTAGTGAGACCCTGTCTCTAAATAAAATACAAAAAAAAAAAAAAAAGGACTGGATAGCTCAGTGATAAAGAGCCCCCTGGGTTTAATTCCTAGTTAAAAAAAAAAAAAAAAGAGTTCTGCAACCTGGAAATACAAAATGAGGTTCAAAAGCAAGTTCAAGAACTATTTTTATCTCTTTTAGACTCATTTTCCATGTGAAGCCTCATTTAAATAAGAATAGAAGAAAAATCCAAAAACAGAAGGAAAAAGTATAGGATATTTTAAAATCATTTTCCATTTTCTGTCATTCACTAGATATTGCCACCCTCGCCTATGCATTTTTGACATAAAACCACATATTCAAAGTCAATTTAATTATATATTTTTATTTGAAAAACAATAAACGTCCGACAACAGAAGCAACAAAAAAACAACGTTTGAGTTTGAGGAGTATTTTTTGGTACCAGGAATTGAACCCAGAGGAGCTTAACCACTGAGCCACATCCCAAACCCTTTTTATTTTTTATTTTGAGGTAGTATCTTACTAAATTGCTTGGGACCTTGCTAAATTGCTGAGGCTGGTTTTGAACTCATGATCCTCCTGCCTCAGTCTCCAGAACTGCTGGGATTACAGGTGTGCACCACTGTGCCCAGCATACGATCATTTTTACTGTTTTTTGTAGGATTATCTACTGCACATTTTTATTACATGGATTAATGATAAACAAGAAAAAAATGTTAAATTATGAGCAAGTCACAAAATGATCGTTTTTTACGTTATCTTTTTTTAAATATCTTTGTTTATTTATTTTTATGTGGTGCTGAGGATCAAACCCAGTGCCTCACATATGCAAGGCAAGCGCTGTGCCACTGATCTACAACCCAGACCCATTTACTTTATCTTTTTCATTTAACAAATATGGAAACATTTTTAATAGCTACATCACATTCTGTATTAAAGATATGCCATAATCTTCTTAGACATTATCATATCCTTCAACATTGAATTATAAATGCCAAATTATTATAAATTATTTCCAGTTATTATGTTGTCAACAAAATTGCCCTGAATATCTTTCATGTTTGTTTGTGAGTCTTTGTATTTAGGGTACTTTGTAGAGATACAACTCCTTGGCCAGGTGTGGACATTTTTGGAGCTGAGTAGCCAAACTTTTTCCTATCAGTGCTCCAAAATTCAAGCTATGGGTTTGCAAATAACAAATCATATGATCGTAGAACAGCTTTGTGCTGTGAGCCTAGTCCTAGTGGCTATGAGGTTCAGTTTTAGTATTCCCACATTCACTTGTTCATTCATTCATCTAGTCATTATTGACCTTTTACCATGTGCAGGCAGCATAAGAGGCACTGGGGACACAGCAGTGAACAAAGCAAGCTGAATCCTTGACTTCTTGGGACTCTTTTTCTTGCAAAAAGATGATAAATGGACATTTAATGTAAAGTCAGAGAAGAAAAATAAAGCAGAATACTTATGTAGGTATAGATAATGTGTCAAAATGGAGAATTATAAAAATTCTGCAAGTGTTCTTCAGTGATCTGTGATCAACAGACTTACTGTACACACATTTTTCCTCAAGAAAATTGGAATGTCAGGCTTTCCTGGGTGGTAATAGGGGGCCAAGAAAATTGGAATGTCAGGCTTTCCTGGGTGGTAATAGGGGGCCTTTTTGAGGCTGGCTCTTTCTCCTGCACCTACAGAGAAAATGATGATGTGCCTTTACCCAGGGATCTGGGAATCAGGCTGCTTTAGATTCCCATCCTGTTGGCTTCCTGTACACATCCCCAGTGGGCTCAACCCATCCATCATATTTGTCCCAAGTGGTCCTTAACTGTGTCACATTCTCTCAGAGAATACTCGAAGAGTAGCAGAAAAGATGAAATCAATGCAGCAATAAAGTGAGTCGTGCCCTTAGAAAAGGAAATTTCACATTGGACTGAAAATAGACTCCATCTGTTTAAAATATCTTCCTAATTCTGTTCTGTTTGATCTTCCATCAGAATTTGGTCTGCTGAGTATTTTTGTTCCGTGAAAGGGTATCTAAAGGTGGGGATCTTTCTCCCCAGGATGATTCGGAGTTCAGAAAGACTCATTTCAACAATGATACCTTTCAAAGCAATTGCAGAAAATTTTCCCTAGAAAATTGCGCTGATATAAGGGGCCTTTATGCTCCATTCTCTTCCTTATGTCTCTGTTCAGTGAGTTTTCTATTTTTGCCTTTTATTCTCTTTATGAAGGTTAAGGACTCTGACTCTCGCTTTTAATTGTCATTTAAGTTTTAGGCAGTTTTATAATCTGAGAACTGTTTGTTGACATCATTGTTGGAGGTTTTCTCTTCAATCTTACAGGTTAGGTGGCAGGGACAATTTGTCATCTATTTTGGTTTAAAAGTTGCTAGAAAGAATTGGTGTGTGTGTGTGTGTGTGTGTGTGTGAATTGATATAAAAGGAAAAGGAGGAGATCCCCCAGGTCTTTAACATGGTGCAGGAAATAATGACACTGGAGATAGTTGCCTTTGATTTGATGGTTTTATTAGCTCCAGGCATATGGGCTGACACATTAAGTCAGAGAGCCATAGGGTGTCAATATTACAAGTTCCCTGAGTGGTTCCCTAATGGAAACTGAAATCCTACAGGAGAAGTGACTTCCCAAGGCCACAGAGGAAGATGGTGACAAGCCAGATTCTAGGTTTTCTGGCTTCAATCTGCCACTCCTCCACCATACCATTTTCTGTCCATTAGTGCATTCATAGGGGTCAGTTCAACAGCTCACTTTCCAGCCTAGCAAATAAGAAGAAATAGCAGGTCCAGGCCGGTTGGCTCTGATGTAGGAGGCAACAGGAGGGAGGAGAGCACAGCTTAGGAAGGGCCATGCAGGGCTCTGAGCTTTGAGGCCAAGGGAGTAGGGACAGCATAGAGTAGGGTGTGGGAGAGTAGACATCACAAGGGACAAAAACAGGGCTGGGAAAAGGCAATGAGAGGGCGCAAGGACACACTCCATCTGGTCTCTTCCTTTAGTTCTGGATGGATCCGGGATATTTAGGAATGGGATATTTTTTCTTAAAGTAGCAAAAATACTGTCCTAGAAGTTAAGAAGATCTACTACCTGGTTTTATGATCTTGGATAAGTCATGTGTTCTCCCTGAGCCTCAGTTTCCTCATCTGTAGTAATGATCACACTGACGGGAGATGAGACACTGTGAAAACTTTTACATATGTTATAATCCTCACAACAACTCTTCAGGGACCTCTCCCTTTTCCAGATGAGAAAATTTAGATTCTGAGACAGCAGGAACTTGTCCAAGCATATGTAGCAGACAGTGGCAGAGCTTGAGTTTCAACTGAGGTTAGTCAGGGCTCCGTCCCATGGCTCATTTTCCTGGGCCCCTAATCATCTATTGAGAAAAAGGCAGAATCAATGACCTTCAAGATCCCTCGTGTTTCCAAATTCAGAATTAAGTAATTATGCTAAATCTCCGAGCCTTGGTTAATTCATCTACTCTCTCTGAACATTGTATATATCTCTTGAACAACTCCAGCCAGTTGAAATCTTGGTATTTACTCTGTACAAAGTTCATAGATCTTCACCAAAATTAAATAGGACCAGATAAATGGCACCCTGGTCTTTGAGAAATAATAAAGACTTTGTCTTTTAGAGATACACCATTCATTCACCAAATCCAAGCTCTCCCTAGAGCCACAGGGTGCTGAAGAGCTCATTCTTTTTCCTACAATGCAATTACTTAATTACTAATAGGTATGTTGCAATGTTTAAGAAACTGAAATTTGGCTCCTAGATTCAAAAGTATTCTCAGTTGTCCTTCTAGGCAATGGAATGATTGACATTCTCTAAAGATGACAGCCATGTTGGATTATCCCAAATACTTGAGTCTTTACTGCTAGGAGAGCTTCCTCATATCCATTTTAGGGATCTAGTTTAATCCTATATCCACACGCCATCCTCATATGTACAAATAAAAATTTTCATGAAGAAATTCAGCTTAGAAACATATTCCTTTTTTCTGGATTTTTTTTTGTGGTAGATATTTCTAAATTTCTAACTGGGTCTTTCTGGCTTCACATTGGGTCTTACTAACACATATGATCATCATCCTTCTGTCCTGGTTTTGCTGTGGATTTTGAATTTTCCCTAAATAACTGCTCTAGAAACTCTCAAAGTTACCTAATTAGTGATTACACTTTGCAAATCAAGAAGAGCATTTCCCAGCTAGTTGACTCAGTCAGTTAGAGCAGGTTGCTAATAATTAGGCCACAGCTACAGGTCTGGGCTGCGCGTGAGCCAGTTAGTAAGTGCAGACAGCGCACAAAGGTGAAGATAAGGCTGTGCTCCCAAGAAGGACCAGGCGAGGATGCAGATGTCCAAGAGACATCCATCCCTACTAAAAGGAAAAAAAAATGCTACTGAGTCATAATATCACGTTGCAATGATTGGAAACAAAAAGAAAGGGAAGGAGGAAGGTTGAGAGAAATGGAGCAGGAGGGATAGAAAGGAAAAAGAGAGGAAGGGAGGGAAGGAGGAAACCCAACAAATAATCCTAGACAAGTTCATGGAGATAAATAATAAAGGAGGACTCGCAGAAGGAGCGGCACCTGAAGCATGGCACGACCCCTGATCAGGGCTCTTATTCCTAGCAGGCTGTGACGCAGCTCCGTCTTTACCTGCTCGATGGTTCTCGCACTGCTGATGCACTGCTTTAATTTGGGAAGCCTTTCTCTTGAGAGGCATGTCTTTTCTTGCTCTAAGTCTAAAGTGCTCCCTTGTGTGGCATTCTCGGTGACAGATGTACTACAGTTATGCTTTAGCTGACTCCAAAGCCATAGCTTCCCAGTGCCTGAGTGGTCTATTTGATGTCCAAGAGTGTGTTTCCTCTGAGAGCAGGTCTTTGCTGGAATATCATCCAAGAAGGCAGGAAGGTATAATCCCTTTGTTCTAAAGCAGCCCCTGTTAAATTCTGCAATCCCTGCCCACCCAAAGGCTATTCTCTCAGAAGGTCTAAAGTGCAACTGCTGAGGTGCATCGAAGCCCTTAGAAAGCCTGTGGAAAAGTGCTAAGATCTGAGAGTCCTCTCCCTTCTCTACCCACCCCCCCCAAGGTTATTCTATTTTCATGGATGACCCCACTTCCACGTGACCCTCTGTAAGGACAAGGATTTCAAAAATACTTGAACACCTCCAAGGACACAAGAGCCTCTTTCCAGCCTCCCATCCATAGCTCTCCTTTTTATAGGAGTGTTGGAGTCTCGATGACGGGATGGATCTAGGACATGACTGGTGGGGCCAGCCAATTCTCTATGTGTCCATCTGTGATTATTTTGCACGTCTTGTCACTGGTGAAGCACTATCATTTTTCTCTGAATTCTAATCTTCCCACCATCCAAGCCCATTCTTGAAGGAAGGCAGAAATGTAGCCACGGGCCATTCTGTTGGAACTTGTGCCACTTGTCCTCTAGCAGGAGTTGCAGCTCCCCCTGCCAGCACCGATGTCTGCTGAAGGAGGCCTTGTCCACTCTGTCTCGCATCCAAGGCGAAGAAATTTACTCCATCTACCAGTCTGAGTTCTCTCTGGGCGTCCTGGGTAGATCAGAAAGGGCTTCAGTCTTAGCGAAAAGACTTTTCCTCTTAGGCCTTAAAGTAGCTCTGAAGTTAAAAGTATAGAAAGCTCACTGCTATATAAAGTTGACTTCTAAAATTAAAGGATATCTTCCATTTTGGACTTAATACTTGCATTTTTAGTATTTTCACTTGAGATAACAGTCTAATTATTCCATGGCCCGGTACCTGAGGGAATAAAAAGAGAATTTGAAGTTTTGTTTGTAATTGCTTATATTTTCTTACTGTGCCTTTATTGTAAGTATAACTCTTGGCTTACTTTTCTCTCGGATAGTTTCCTGCCTTGTATTTATAAATTACTTTCAGTGACATGTATTTAGTAAAGACAAACTGTGAGCTGCTTAGGAGGCTGAGGCAGGAGGATTGTGAGTTCAAAGCCAGCCTCAACAACTTAACATGGCCCGAAGCAACTTAACAAGAATCTGTCTCTATGTAAAATATTTTTTAAAGGGCTGGGGATGTGACTCAGGGCTCTGTGATTAAATGTCCCTGGGTTCAGTCCTCAGTACAAAAAAAAAAAAAGACAAACTATGAACAATCTAACATACCAATATCACCACGGACCTGTGGCATAATAGTTACTAATAAATTAACTGGGACTAAAAGTCTTCAAAATGCAGAGAGCAATATGATCCTACAATTTGATAAAGACAGACTGATACATCTAAAAACATGGACATATTGAAGGCAATCGATTCCTGGCATCCCAAAGCAAGAAGAAAGCATCATCACAGTAAATACTTAACTTCCTGACAAGAGCTCAGGGCCTGAAACATCTATATCCTCCCTTTTCTCCCAAGCCCGCCAATGGAACATTTAGACCATGGAATTTTTCTAGTGCAACAGGTTTTGATAATTGAAATGAAATGGTTTTGTAATGGGTAACAAATTTTTCTTTCCTTATTTTTTTTTCTATTGGAAATGGTATTATATATGGCTGTTGTCATCAAATCTCTTCTGATTTAATTTTTAAAATAGAATTTATTGTTTACTTAATATAGAAAATATTAAGAAGAAAAATTTGCCATTTCATTCTTAAAAGACCCCACTCAACAACATTTATAAATAAAAGTCGTGTATTTCCACGACTTAAATTTTCATTTTCAACACAGATAGGAACAAAATCGAAAGCAAATGCTTCCTTGGTTTCATCTGTTATGAGATTTCTGATTCTAATCTACCTGTGGACAGCCCCAGATATGTCCCTAAAAGGGCTCTAGACGGTAAATAAAAGAACCCTTGTCAAGAGAAACATAGATAACACACAACATGATGCTTCTTGTAAAAGAAATCTCCTCTAGGTATTAAGAGAAGCTATCAGAAGAACTCTAAAATGCTAAAAAAAATGATACTTATTAGAAAGTCAAAAACAGCTCTTAATGGGAATATTTGAAATTATGCTGAGGATTGCACAGAAAGACTTCACCCTGTTTTTCTAGAATTGGTAGGTAAGCTATGACCAAGGGATCAGCAACATACTTCTCTAAGACCATGCGAGCCTGTATAAGAAGTACATCACAGGGAGGATGGGGTCAGCTGGCCATATTCCAGTAAACCCAAAGCATAACATTTCTAGATTACTTTCCTTGGGCACTTTTATAACACTTTTATAAAAATGTTAACATCTGTGAGTGATCTCTAATATATTCCTCTTTTAAGGAGTTTTAATGATAATATATTAGCCAGATTTTCATAGTCCAATGTGTATACGATTTGGCAGTGTGAGGATCTGTGTCTTCCCGCCATTGAGAGGTAAGTGACAGTTGTACGCGTGAGGTGATCACTCGGTTAAACAAAATCACAGTACACCTCATCTCTGACAACACTTTCTTTCCACAGGGCATGAAAGTCACCCCACCTTCTAAAGGTCAGAAATTACCATGGGATTATGACCTTTGTATTTATGATGGCTTCATAGACAAGACAGCCCCAGACTTCATAGCATTCAAAGAGCATTTTAACTCAGCTTGGGGGAGTATTTTTTCTCTCTTGGAACATATCGAGAAGTTTCTCAGGGACTATGCAATACCAGAAGTCAAAATCAAAGGGAAGAACTTGCTGGCCCTCCTTCCAGAGTTTGAGCTGAATAATAAACTTACCCGATACAACCTGCTCTCACTGCTGGAGAACCCAGTTCACGTCCAAATGCTGTTAAATCGCCCAGGACAGAGGTTCAAGGGCCAAGGTGGGAAGGCAGAAGCCGCCGTCAAGATCCAAGCTACATGGAAATGCTACAAAGCAAGAAAATACTTCCTTGTTTACCGTCAGCAGAAGTGGGCGTCGGGTGTGATCGCCCTTGCTTGGCTTTTACGTTGCCATAAGACCCGAGTGAAGAAGATCCTGAAGGAATCGCGGCAGAGACACCTGGAGAATTTCCGAATGCGAGCCAAGGTGCACGAGGCTGCCAGCTGCTCAGGCAGACCTCTTTTTCTAAACAGTTCCTGCTTGAACGACTGCAATAAGTTGTCTCTTTCTCTTTCCTTTCCTTCTCCAACTCCCCTCCCCCTCAGCCTCCCTGGTCTTTTTCTTTCCTCTACGCAGGATGCACAAGCCCCACATTTGTTCCTGCAGCATATTTTAGCCCTAATCGGCAATCTGGCTTTTGTGCCTGCAAAAATCGGCTGCAATTTTTCTATAGACGTAAAGTCCCTTCATTTGGGCTACGGTAGTTCTGTCAGAAAATCGATGTTTTAACTGCATTACCTTTTCCCCCCTATATATACCTTCTGGCACTTTAATTTGCTAGGGGAAAAAAAATCCTCTCTTGTCTACATTGCTGTCACCACTTTGTCAGAAAGTATTTAAGTTTGCAGACAGCCTTTTAATTAGTGCTCACAATTTCATTTATGTTTGCTTTCTCTTTTTTTCATTCATATTCTGTTAATTAAGTGAGCTGCCTCTAATCTTCCCCTGCCAGTAGCATCATGTAGCCACCTAATTAAATTAATTGGGGAAGATGTTTTAAGTATGTAATTAAATCAATTAATATAATTTATGCCTGGCTTAACTGTACAGTGGAAAAACAGCTGAAGTTTGACTAGATGAATCCACTACAGCTTCCTGTCACTGATCAATGCTCTTCTTGATTTTTAGCATCTGGCAGCCAACTGGAATCGCATCAGGACCTCCAGGAGGACGATTATCCATATCCCATCATTAGGTATAACACTTTTGCCTGCAAATCTATCAGCAACCTCTATTACCCACCACATTATGGCTCCTTGATTGAGTTCAAGGAAGGCCCCTTGTTTTATTCAAATTGGTCTCGGCAGGAAAATGTTCTCGACATGATGAGAGTAATAACACAGGGCCCTCGCTCGAAACGGCGTTTAATTTGGGGATTAAGCAAATAAAGTCATTATGTGGGGGCTGCTATTCAGTGGAGAGGTGATTTGCTGTAATTCGCTTTCATCTGTATGAAATGAACTAAAAAGTTGTATTTTTTTCCCCCTGAAATACGGATAATGTTTTCGATCTTCTTTAATGATAGAAGCACACGGGCTTGTGTGTGTTGTGGCAGTTACGCCAATAAGCCAGGATATTGCTTGTACACTGTTTTTAATCAAATGTGCAGTCAAAATGATAAGCTACATTCTCTGAAATTATTTAGTTCTAATTACGAGCAGATGGGATGCTTTATTTGCACCTAGGGCGCCTGAGCAAAAGGAAATGCTGTGTGAACAAGAATAATTAAGAAGTTGAATAGTGTTTTTTGCGCTTAAATAATCTGCAGTTTCATGTTAATTAGCACTAATGTAATTATTTAATTACATTTATGAATTGGGGAACTTGAAAGCTGTTGTCTGAAACGCAGTGGTAAAATAGGTGTGCCAAAATGACACAGGGAATTTCAGAAATTTGCATTGGAAGTTCTTTTAAAACACGAGCTGCTGTCAAAATGTTTGGGATTTGTGTCTCATTGTTTGTTTTGTTTTGCTTGGCTTCTACCTAGCCTGTTAAATTTCCTGGATGAGGCCAAATTTCCTATGCTGACTTAATAAGAGTTTTGACAAACAGCAAAAACCACTGAATCTCCAGATTAGCTCTTTGTTAAGGCCTTTCCTGTAAAGCAAGGCAGTAATTGATCTTCTGGGTTGTTACTTATTTATGTTCATCTGTGAATATTTTAGTTTGTGTATTGAAGTGTAGCATAGAAACAAAACAAATTTAAGCAGTAATAGAAAAAGAAAAACATTTAAACTACTACATAAACATATTAAGATTATTTTAAATTAGTAAAATATTAATAGGACCAAAGTAATACAAACTTTCCAAGATTCTAGAGCATATGCATAGAGCTATGTGTACTAGTGCAAAAGTTAAGAAAACTTGAGTTGCATAGGGCCTTTTAGTTTTGCTCCACTTTATGGCTCACAGAAGAAATTTGTTCCTTCTTAGGATGTAAGTGAGCTAAGACAGATCTGAATTTCATTCCAACTTAGGCTTTTGTCTTGGTGAGACTACTTTTGCACACAAAATTAGTTCACACACAGAAATTGCACTTGTAATTGATTGCAACCAGAGAGGCTAATTGCAGACCCAATTAACTGACTCAGGTCCTTAGAATAAGGTGCAAGAGCCTTTGCTTCTGAAACTAATTGTGGACCTGACATAATATTATATGGGGAATTTTGTTTTTCTTTCTCTACTTGATCCAAAACTAGAGCCAGAAACAGGGTTCCTACTTTGCAATGGTAATAAGCACACTCGTGTGGTATAGGTACAATTTCCACAAACTTCTTTCCTCCCACACTCCCTTTGACTCTTCAAAACAACCCCATGTGAATGGCCCTGCAGAGAAGTCTGATACAAAGGAGTCTCCAAAGAAGCAGAAATTTGAAAGTAATGGTAATGTAAGCTGAGTAATAAAAAATGAGTTAAAAGGAAAGCATCTTAAATTTTCAAAAGGACTTGCTGGATATAAATTAAATGGAAAATAATATGGTCAAAGAAATGAAAATTATAAAGCATTATTTTAAATTGTATATTAAAGCTAGCTTCTAGATTGTATATATATATAGTTTAAATAAATGATAAATATGAAGGCTTCCCAAATGCAGTAATTTTTGTTTGTAAATGACAGAGTACCCACTTTAAAGGAAAATGTATTTATGTATTTTTAAAATATAAGAATGGTCTCAGATATTTTTCTCAATCAAGCATTTTAGAAGTCCAACTCTACCTTTTCACAAGAGAATTTGTTTCTACAATCTGTGCTTTAGGTTTTATAAAATGACTTGTGGATATCCAATTTAGTATAAATATTGCACAGACAGAATTCTTAAACTATAAAAAAATGATATGGGGTTCTTTTTTCTTATTTCCCACTTCGCCAGGGAATACACAGGGAGGTTTTTGGCTATACACAGCATGGCTTCTTTGTCTCATGCACGCAGGACTTACTTCCACTATTCATAAAAATAGAAGTGGATGAAAATGAAGTCAATTTTTGTTCTAAATACACTGCAAAAAGAAACTAACCTATTCAATCTAATAATTTTATTTCCAGAGTTAATACGAATTCACTCGTCAAAATCAATGGGCAGGGTTGTCGGGTTCAAGTAGGCACTTAAAGCAAGTGTAGCCTTGTCGTCTTTTTCTCTTTTCATAGGAAAACTTGCTATAGAATCACCCTGGAAATAATGACACTCGGACACCAGTCAATTGGGGCTGCACTAACTTATTTGAACCCTTAAAATGAAAGCTAAGTACTGATAACCACGTAATATATTACAGTTGTAGGCGTTTGGCTATTTGCTATATAGTTTTGCACACAGGAATAATTGCTTTCTTCAAACCCTGATGGCAGAAAAGATGGCCTTTTAGTAACATATTTTACTATGAAACATTTATAATGTATTTTTAAACGTATAGTTTGATAACACAAACATTAAAAGAACATATTGCAGAGTTACCTCTTTGTTATAAAATTTGATTAACTGTTATATATTGCATGTAGGGGTTCCTAGATGTAACAAATATTTTAGCTATTTTTAACCTACAGAAGTGGAATGTTATTGACTAATTGTTTAAAAGAACTGATTGGCCTTATAATTTTATAAGTTGATAAAAAATTCTTTCCAGAATGTATAGGTTGATCTCTTAATGGGATATTACATATTTTTATCATTTTTATTAATGAAATATAATTATAACAAAATCGTATTCCATAGTTCATAGCAGAAATAGAATTCTAGGGTCTATTTTAAGCAAAATCTATCAATCAAATAAGAAGGAATCGCAATAAAGAATCCTAATTCCTCTAGAAAGACCAAAGGTCTAAATAAAAACTGCAAACTAAACTTGCTTCCATTTCTTTTGGCCAAATTATTTCCTTCACATTTTAACCCCGGGCTTTTTATTATAGCACATCATAAGTATATGTACTGCTATACTTTAACTCAGAGACATTTTAACATATAGTCATTTAATATGATGTGTCAAAAATTGGCTTCCAATGCTGAGAGCAGATATCTGAGGTCACTGTCAGCAAACTCAATCCCAGTGGTGAGTCTCCCTTCTCATCTCTCTTCCTCTCCCCCCCAGCCCCCTTTTTGTACTGGGGATTGAACACATGGGCATTTTACTACCCTGCTACATCCCCAGCCCTTTTTTAATTTGAGACAGGGTCTTGCTAAGTTGCTGAGGTTGTCCTCAAACTTGCACTCCTCCTGCCTCAGCCTCCCTAGTCACAGGGATTGTAGGCAGGCACCACCACGTCTGTTCTCTTCCTCCTTTAAAAATACAGATAGGTGATATATTGAGGTGGGATTTTTTTCTCTCTTCTTTACATAATCTTTTATTTCATTGGCCAATCAATGTAATGGCTAAAAGTAATATACATAATTCATCCTCAATTTTTTCTGCATGTGCATTATTTCAGTAAATTCTCCTTAGGATTAACATGAACATTGGTCTCCAGAATATTCCATGCCATAAAAATTGTGGATGGTGTTATTGTGAAATTCATGAAAAATATTTTTCAGTTGTTCTGTACTGTCACAAAAGCCTGTAAGAAAAGACAGAAATGTGCTTTTGTGGGCAGCTGACCATACACTGAATGGAGAAAGCCCTGAGGCTCATGAGACAGTAGCGTCCTAACTGCTTTCCCTTCCCCAGGAGGAGAGTTGAGACTCACCTCTCTGTGAACAGAGACGGAGGACTGCGACTGTGAGCATGGACCTGAAGTTGTTTCTAGTGTGCCTCTAAGCATATTGCCATCTCTCTACTTTCTCACTTTTGAGTTGACAACTCAAAGATTAAATAGGTTCTGTTCTTCCATCCTGGGCAGTTGGGATCTCTCATCCAGTCTTCACAGTCGTCCAAAGGTATTTTGGCAGCTAACATGGAATTCATAATTGAGTCAGGAGTTGCCACATGAGATCCTTGGGACAACTGAGCTGCCAGCATCCCCCAGGCAGCCTTTCCCAGAAATACCCAGGTCCTTGGGGATCAGCAGCAAAGTACACTTAAACTTTCAAATTTCTTTATAGCCCAAACTAAAATTAAAATACATTTGTATTCTTCCATGTCAACAAATCAACACTTACTCACTGGTTAGATCACAGTTAGCCCAATCACCCTTTTATATGAAAATGTACAACTGATCTTGACCCAGCTAATGTTGTACCATAATTCAGAGAAATAGCATTAAATTGGGTGTGAAGTGACACCTGTTCAAGGTCTTTTCATGAAATGGATTAATATTGGGATAAGAACAGAAATGAATTTTGCATATGCTAAATAAAAATGTAATCTCTTAATCTCCTTCCTCCTCATAAAAATAGCAAAAGCTTTATTCAGCTATTCTCAAATTTTCTTGTCTCAGAACACCATTAAACTCATAATGGTAACTGAAGACCTGAAAGAGCATTGGCTTAAGTGAATTCTATCTATTGTTATTTACTGTATTAGAAACGAATGAAAGGAACTTTAAAAGTACTTATTAGCTAATGAACCCACTGCCAATGTTAATCTAAATAACACATTTTTACAAAATAGAATTATTTTCCTAAACAAATTTAGTGAGAAGAATGGCATTATTTGACAGGTTTGCAAATCCCTATACAATGTGGTTGTAGTCTCATAACTGCTTCTATATTCAATCTGTTTTGTATGTTCTTCAGAAGAAGTATACGAAAAAAAAAATCTGGCCCTATG